AACTAACTCCTGTGCTGAATAGTGACTGGATACTGTACAGGTTTATGTTATATGGCTGCAGTTTAATGGTCTGTTGCATTTTGCTCTGGTTTTCAGACCAGAAGCATGCATTTTCTACAAGAGCATCACAACAACATGCTGTAAATAGTAAAAGTTAATATATTACGTGTTGATATTTGAAAGAGAAAGTACTTTGAATATTTCATTTTTTAAAAATAAAGGTGCAAACTAAGAGCTTGCGTGACGTTGTCTTTGTCCAGACCGTTTACTCAAGCTAGTCTAATTATTTCAGACAGCAACAACCAAATCCTCTTTATTGCTATACAAGAAAGAGCCCATCTAAGGATATTGAAATCTTTAAAAATATCAGTCACCGCTGACACATCTAATTGTATTTCTGATGGGCAAAGTCAGACAAAGCTATTGCAAAAAAACCACCCTGCTTATGAAATAGTAGCATACAATTCCTGTCACCATGTACCAGCTCTTATGCTTTCCCAGAGAGGAAGAGAAGCAGCATCCGTGTAAAGGGCAATACTGGTTCCAAGACGGGAGCTGGTGGAGCGGATGGCAGTGATGAGGGGCGAATGGTGACCCCTTACTACCCCCAGCTGGTTTTCCTCCTCAGGCCTACAGCAAGCCCAACACTCCCATGAGGTTCAACAACAGCACAGGTTTGTCTTAATAATTCACATCAGAAATTGAAATGACATCCCCTGCCTTACCCAAGATGGCATCTGCTGCCCTGTTCGATGCTTTTCTTTTTAAGACTATGACTATACAACCATGCTCATACCGGTTAGCCTCAGCTCAGTGACCATTGCTGTGGCACTTGTTTCACATTGCTTTTCCTAGCACAGGGTTTCCCATGCAAAAGAAGAAGATACAGCCGTTGAATACTGTATCTCCCTATTGAGTTTAACGCTGAGATTTGTTCTACCAGAGACTGCTCAGAACTTAACTTGGTTCAAGCTTTCCCTGTGTTTCTTGCCATGTCCTGTCCCCTGCCAGACCTGATGAACCTGCATTTTTTTACTAAATAATCACTTCCCCTTTCCACTTGGACTCAGTATTTAGTTGCAGTAGGGGGGTGTGCATCCCCACAAGCACACACGCAGTTTGTGGTGCTGCAAACCCCTCTGCAGCACCACAGATTGCACGCACTGCACGTGCATGCATTTATTGCACTGCTACTTTGCAGCATCGGGTTGGTGTTGACACTGGGATTTCCCGGTGTCAAAAAAAAACCTGCTAGAAAAGAGTGGGGTGCTGCACATGCTGCCTGAAACTGGAGCTTGGCCAGTCAGAGCCACGCTCTGGCTCCAGGCCAGGCTCTGCGTGCCGGGATCATTGCCACCACAGCCCCAGGAGGTCCCTAGGTAAGGCTGCTGGGGAGCCATCATGGATGCTGGTCCCAGCCTCTCCTACCCCACCCAGGGCAACTTGCCACGCATCAGAGCTGTTGTGTTGCGCATCAAGTAGTTTTGTGCTGGAAAAGCAGAGTAAAGAAATAAATTTGCATGAGCACAAAGCTAATGAGCAAGAGCAGTGAAGGGAAAAGCTAAAGGCAAGGCTCTATGTTGACTAACAAGTACTAAAAAAAAAAAAAAAAAATTTTTAAGACACCGACAAGAAA